AATGTGCCGCATTCGACAAAATCGGTGCCGCATACAGTATTTGGCTTTTAACCACATTAGCTAAGAGTAGACGTCTACGCTGTTTCGGTCCCCGCGTGTTAAGCATTATTTGCGATAGTCCCGTGGTCGTTGAGGCTGCTTTCTCTCTCACAAAGCTAAGGTGGGCGCTGAATGTATGACGCTTGTCTAGTATCACTCCCAAGTATTTAATTGTTGGTTTTGTCGGGATGATGTGATCGCCAATTAGCATTGTTTATTATTTGAAACTAAACATTTTCTCAAACATTGGTTATCAACTCAGGAATGGTTTGAGAAACATTTTGGGACATTTTTTTAGCATTTCGTTCCATTCCATCTGTGTCAACATCGCACTGATGTCGAAGTCTACGGTAGTCTGGTACATCAGTCGCAAAATGGCTCCTCGACCACGCGCTCACTGTCATTCGCATTTTATGTTTCGGTAAATGGTTCCCCATTCGAGTAAATTCAAATGCATTTAATTTAATGATTTGAATGAAATTTTGTTTGATAATATAATTCTGTGACTGACTGTTGTTGTTGTTGTGGCACTACCAAGCCCCACCTACTTCGATTTATCCATCAATCATTGTCGTCAAGCTCAACCACGGTAGGCCCATAAAAAGGGCAGTTTGAATAGGGTCGGACCAAAGGGAGAGGAGTGTTAGTTGAGTGGGATTGAGCTGGCATATTAAGAGGTGGTTGGTGTCGTGCGGGGAGTCTGACACAGGTGGTGATTGGGCTCCGATCACGGCATTCGTAGGCCGGGCGTCATGGTAGGTGGTGGCAGTTGATCGCTCGTCGGTACGTCGTCGGGTGCAATGGTTGGTCGATATAAGTCATGACCGCGTCCTTGTAAACAGATAGGTGGCATGTGGCATACCGCCAGAAACTGCTTGCAGAATATTTTATTTTGCTCTCTTTCGGGGAAAATTTGGGCCTCGCTGTGTAGGTGGTGTTCAGGCGACATCAGAAGGCACCCTGTCGTTGTCCGGAGTGCTTCTTTCTGAAAAGTCTGTAGCTTCGTCCACTGCGTCCAACTATGTAGTCCCCGGCGACAAAAATAGGCGCAGCCTGCTTTAGAACCCGAAGGTCAATTGCCTTATATGTTACCAGTAACGTTTCTTTGTCTTCGTAATTATGCTCTCAATTTTGGTTTTATTGCTCAACGAGAAATGAAATAAAGCAAATTTGCGTTATTTCACATTAAATTGGGAAATAACACAAATTTGCGTTACTGCCGATTATGTTATTTCAACCCCCTCCAGCCCACATAATCCTCACAAAGTCTCAGTTCTTATGCCTACCGACTAGGGTAAAGCAGTCGTTCAGAGACTCTACGAGAGGGAATTATAAATGCCTTGGATTGCCTTTTATACTTTGACATACGCCAGTGAGCTGCAACCTGAGAATCCTCCCATCTTTTTAAGAGTTCTGCTTGTATCTTTTGGTTTGAACGAAGAAAGGCTGAGAGCCATACAAGCTCCGTTGGGTTCCCCATTGCGGGAAAGTATCAGTCCTTTCGTTGCCAGCTAAGCACTTATGACCTGGAACTCACCGTAAGGGAATCTTGTTTGGGGTTCCCAGTTTGTCCAATACATTTTGGCAACTGTCCACCAGCCTTGGGCTAGTTTTACTTAAGTCTAAGGCTCTGCCTAGCTGGGTCCAATATATTAAGTCCTGTAGAACAGATTTGATCCTTCTAATGACACAGGGCTATCCAAGCAAATCTGCTTGAATAAAAGGCAGTCAGG